GGACTGAAGTTGTCAAGGATTTCATCTTACTTAAATGCACAATCAACGCTCATGGAAGCAGCAGTCCCAAGATCAAACAAGCTGGGAAAAGAAATCCAGTAACAAGACATGGACAAAAAACCTAGAGAGCATTATGCTTAGCAAATGTAGTCAATCTCACAAAGACAAAAATTCAATGACGCCATTATTGTACGGGGAAAGAAAGAAAAGTAGTTTTCACACCAAAAAATAAGACTGTGAAGCCTAAGAGGAGGCCAGGGGTGGGGGGCAGGAGCAGGGGAGGGACAGGAAATTATTGTGGGAGGGGGGAAAGATGGGGGGGAGAAACACATGTATGGGCAGTTTAATGGGATACTATTACTGATTGTATTTGATGAGATGGGTTATGCAACTACATAGAATATTTTTTCCTTAAAAATATTTAGAAATCAAGCCGAAATTTTAAAAAGAGAGTGAAGGCTCACAACTTTAAAAACCTTCCAGATTCCTCACCCCTCAGATCTAAATATTGGTCTGAGAGGCTGAAAAAGGAGGAAAAGTAAAACTGAAGTGGATTTGAAGTCTTTAGTGACAGACAAGTTCATATCAAACATAGAGGGGGGAAAAAGAAGGAAAATTCAAACAACATATTGCTTGGGGTGAATCTGCTGCACAAGACCTCCTCAATGTATTAAAGAGCAAGGATGTCACTTTAAGGACTAAAATGAGCGTGGCCCAAGCCATGATCTTTTCAATCACTTCATATGCATGTGAAAGTCAGATAATGAATAAGGAAAACTGAAGAAGAGTTGAGGCATTAGACTCACAGTGCTGGTGAAGAATATTGAAAGTACCAGGGACTGCCAAAAGAACAAACAAATCTGTCTCGGAAGAAGTACAGCCAGGGTGCTCCTTGGAAGCACGGGTGGCGAGACTCCATCTCAAGTCCTCAGGAGAGACCAATACCTAGAAAAGGACATCCATGCTTTGTCAAATGAAAGGGCAACAGGAAAAAAAAAGGAAGACTGTCAAGGACATGGACTGACACAGTTAGCTGCAGCAAGGGGCTCAAACATTAACAGCACTTGTGAGGATGATGCAGGTGCAAATCCTGCTTTGTTTTGTTGCAGGTAATGTAGATAGGCTTTGTAACTGATCGCTGACACCTGAAATAACAATAATGAGCTACAAATGATTTTTGCTCTACTGGGGCCTCTGGGTTGGATGTTGGACTATGAACTACAAGGTCTATGGTTCAAACTCAGCAGCTGCTCCTTAGGGAAAACATGGGGCTTTCTATTCCCGTAAGGATGTATAGTCTTGAAAACCCCTGGGGGAAGCTCTACTCTGTCTTTTTTCCCTCCCTGTAACAGATGCACAATTTTATTTATTTACTTTTCAATAAGTTTAAATTCTTCCGGGGCACGGCGTCACACGGATTCTGTATCCAATGGCCTTAGCAGGCAGGTTGCTCCGGAATTCTGCCCGAAACACGCCACTGTTTGGCTTTGGGCGCGAGTAACCTTGCCCCGGCTGACTCTGGTTTTGTTCGGTTTGCCGCCAGGGGTCCGTGTCAGTCTGCTTTGTACACATCAGCACATCTCTTGCCTAAATACAAGTCCGTTTCATCTCGGGCGAAAACACCTTCTACTTTAGGAAGAGTCGTGTGCTCCCCCGGGTTCTGGAAACCCGTGTACAGCCAGCAGAAATGCCCTTGGACAACACAGCCTTCCAGACGTACTTGCCGTTTCAAAGTCCGGTTCCCGGCAGGCTTCCACGTGGCAGATAAAGAAAGGAAAACCGCTCTACTCTGTCTTCGAGGGCCACTATGAGTCGGAATCGAAGTGGTGGCAGTGAGTTCTGGGGGCTAAATTGACAACAGTAACACAGAAGATTCAATAGGAACCGTCGAGGGCAGTGAGTTTAATTCAATAAGGTTGTAGCAACTAAGAACAAAAGCGTGAGGTTGCAAAACTTGAAGCACATAATTGATCTCAAGGAATCATACATGCAACCACTGGTGAACTACTGGTGTATGCTATGCTGTTGATACGCTCACCAACAATAAATTGATAACATTTTAAAAATAATCAGTCGTTATAATACCAAATATATTAGATTTATCCATTTCCTTCTTGGTCGCTCACAGTGCAAATGAAGTCTTTTTAAATATACTTGTCAGTTTGTATTTGTTTTGTTGGGTTTGGTTTTGCGTACGCAATCTTCTTAAAGCAGATGATATGTTTTGTAAATATCTGATGAATCCATTACAAAAAGTCAGCTGATGATTATAGGCAGAAGCTTGAAGTCAGAAAGTTGTGGGTCCACGCCTGACGTCTGTCACTTACTAGCTGTATGACCCTGAGAGCTTCTTTGAACTTTGCTCCAGGTCTAGCCCATCACGAGAGTCCTAATACCTACCACATCTGGTTGTTGTGGGGATTAATGTGATCATATACGTAAAGTGCCTGGCCCGGCTCAGGGACTCCCAAATGACACCCAGTCTGCTTTTCTTCACCATTGCTAAGTGCATGGCAAACTTGTGAAGTGGGGATATTTCTTCAATAGTTCACACAAGGGCCTGCGAGACCCGTCCTCAAATACCTTCCCAGCCTCAACTCTGCACTCCATCTCTATGTGTTCTCTAGTAGTTAGGAACTGACAAGTCCTCACCACCCTGCCCCTCGTCTTTCTCCTTAGATGGTCCTTCCCTCTTTCCAAAGCTAATCCTTCCACATGTCCCTACTACGTGTGTGAGTGTGAAAGAGCGCACATGTATACACACACACACACACACACACACACAAAGGCATCTTCCCTCGATGATCACTTGATATATTTTTTTACCTCTTTAAATTATCTGTTGCTCCAGCTGGGCCATGAGGTCTTTGGGGGCTAGGTCTGTGTTCCATTTAACTCTGAATTCCCACTAGCACTGTAACTGGCACAGTACAAAATATAAAGTAAGTGCCTGTTGAATGACTCCCTCTGAGAATGAGGCACGCCTTATATCCCCTTTCTGCTCCACCCAGAAAGACGCCAGCTCTGTCTAGAAGTGGGGCCTCCCTCTGCTCTCTGGGTTTATGCAAGAACGTTTGGCTGCTTGGAATCTCTCCATCCAACACAAAGCAAAGCAGCAAAGCAAGGTTCCATAGAGGGGGCCAAGGAGGCCCTGCCCAGCCAGAGGTATGCTATATGTCAATACAAGCTGAACTTTTATGCAAATACCAGCCAGCTTGCTGAACTCTATCTCGGAACTATCTAGATTTTTCCGTATCTAAATTATATTTGCTCTTGATCCGTCTGGATATAGTATGCAAAGCGGCGCTGACTTATTAACAATGCTGTTTGCAACCAAGGACTACAACAAGAGAAATGTCAAGGGGACAAAATCTTGAGTTGAATGGTGCCAAATGCCAAGACGGAAATATTGCAACCAAGGGCTCTGTCCCAAGGTTATACATGACGATAAGAGGCCACAGGAAAGCATGAAAGCCAAAGGTCCCAGGAGTCTTCAAAAGACACCGGAAACATCTATGTCTTGCATATATTCTGCTATCTTGGCGTCTAAGAGAAAATATTTTTATACAAGAAGAAAATCACAAAGGCTTTAATTAAAAAACAATTCGCTGGGCTATAAGTCTGCACAATGCATATGAAACTTCATATTCTACTACCTCTTTTGGCTCTTACCCAGGAATACAATATTGTGAAGAAGATGAAGGAGGAGGAGAGAGAAGACCCAGCAGAAAAGAAAAAGAAACCAACACTCCTATAGGACTGGCCCTTGAGAGGACAAATAGAGGATACTCAGTAGTCTGCTGTGCCCAGAGCGGCTAACTAAGTTCTGCGGGTCTGATCAGGGGGCCCTAAAGCCTCTCTCATCTCTCATATTGGGATCTTGTGAAAAGCCAGGGACATAGCTTGTTTCAGTTTTCTACCCACGACAAGCAGAGTGCTGCCCACCTCCATTTCTGCAAATTGTGGAATCCCATATAAGACTCACAGGGCCCTGGGGACAGAAATGTTCACCTTGCTCCTAATCGGCAGTACTGACTCTTGTAGCACTTTGGAGGGCATTTCCGATCGGTGGTGGTGATGGGTGGTCGTGTGCCCTCAAGTTGACGCTGACTCTTAGCAACCCTAGAGGACACTGTAGCACCGTCCCTGTGGGTTTCTGAGTCTGTAAGCCTTTAGGGAAGCAGACAGCCACATCTTTCTCCTGAAGAGCAGCTGGTGGGTTCCAACCACCAAACTCTCCCTCGGCAACCAAGTGTCCTAATCCCTAGCGGGGTCACCAAAACTTCAAATCTCCCTACTATTGAGTTGATTTCCGTGGCCGGCCGCTCCCGGTCGGTTCAAACCCACCAGCCGATCCGTGGGAGAAAGATGAGTTTTTCTGCTCCCATAAGTCTTAAAGTCTCAGAAATCCCAAAAGGGTCAGATCTAGTCTGTCCTGGGGACTCAACCGTGCTTTTGGCTTAATCTCAGAGAAGTGGAGGGAGCTCCATAGAAAGAAGATGGTTCCAGCCCTGATTGCAACACAAGCCAACAGCTCAGGCCATAGAACCCTCCTCTCACAAGCAAGACAAATTCCACGAGGGGGGCCCAGGAATGTCTCTCAGCCTTCTAAACTCGGTAATGCACTCAGACAGTCAATTCTCGGTGTCTGGAACACAAGGGGGCAGTGTATACTGCTGCATTTCAAAATCACGGGCCGGTGGATTCAGCCAAGGAAAATAGGGGTGAGGACGGCAGACTAAAAGCACAATCTTCTTGAGTTTGTGTGAAAAACTGAACACAGGAACTATTTTAAAATTTCCAGGCACCTATGTTACTTATTCCTTCACCTACAAAGTATTTCAAGTTGCTAAGAACAGAAGGCCACCACTTATCCAGCGGGCACATCCCTACGTCTCACACACTGGGGGTTTGACCCCAGACACCAACCTGCCGCGCGCGCCTTAGATCCACTCACTCACCCTACCTCAGCGGTAGGGAAGCACTCTCTCCTGAGAGAACAGAACTTTCCAACCCCAAGTTCTAACTCCTTTCCTCCAGCACCCCTCGGGCACGGGACTATCTAATCACCCCATCTCTTGAAAGGGTAAAGACCAAGATCACCTAAAGGGTTGGGGCTGAGGGAAGAAGGTAAAAAGGGGGGGGCAGTGAAGTGAAGTGAATTGAATTGAGCAGAAAGTTGGTCGGCAAAAGAGAAAGAAACGAGGGGACCTAAAACTGAGGAAAGTGACAAGGATGGTGGGCTGGGGGCAGGGGGTGGAGAAAAGTGGCCAAGGAAACAGAAGAAATGAGGGGAACTAACTGAGGGAAGGGGGAGTCGGGAAAGAGGGAGAGAGCGAAAGGCGGGAGAAGAGAGAGGAATTGGGGGAAGGGGGAAAGGAGAGAAGAAATGGGAAGGGAGGAGGCGCGGGACTCGAACACGTGAAGGGGTGGCGCCTAAGCCCTAGTGGGGAGGCAACCTGCTGGAGGAGCGGGCTTTGCAGAGAAGCCGGGTCAGAGATCTCTTGAGGCAGTACGCGAAAGAGGAGCGAGAGGGCAAGTGTCGGAAAAAAACCCCAGTGGGGCGGTGGGGGGGGCAGGCGGGATCCGTAGCGGAGCGAGCGGACGGGAAGCCTAGGGCGGCGGGAGCGTGCTGAGAAGTTTGACGGAGGGCGCCGTGACGGGGTACTCGTGCGAGTTGCGTGGGCCCTCGCGGGGTCCCCCCTGAACACGGACTCGTAGGGGTGGGAGGTGGCGCCGCGGAAGGCTGAGCCCAGACGGGCTCCCCAGGGCGGCGGATCTCCTGTCAG